TACACTTCGATTCTCTAGCCGGTTTCGATCCACGAAAGAGATGCGTGGCGGTCAATTACGTAACACGTAGCCCCATTTCTGTCATTCCAGAGATGTGAGGAATGATCACGTGGGTGATGGTCGGGCTGCTCCTGGCTGCGGAAACTTGCGGCAGAAACGTCCTCTCCGGAAACGGAAACGGAAAGGAGGAGTCGAAGCAGAAGGACGGGCTGAAGGGAGTCACGACAGAAGAAGAAGACATCTACCGTGCGTATTGGCGTGGATGCGCGACGTGCTGCGAAGAGCAAAGGAGAAAAGTCGTGGAGAAAGGGCGGAGAACGGGGCAAACAGATCTATGATTTGCTCGACTAACTCGAGCTTATCCACTCCCCCTCGAATCCTGCAATCGAGCTCCACTAATCCTCCTTCCTGGCTTTCTACCGCTTACAGATCTCGCTCTAGCCACTTTACCTCCTCCCTGCTACCTCCTACCAATTCCCCACAAATCATTCGCCGATCTATACACCTGGCTTGTAACATATTGTTCTGAAATATCGCCAACCGTGCCCGCTGCCAAGCTTCTTAAAGCGCCAATGCTATTTTAGCTAAAGTCTCTCGGCTCGAACCGACATTCGCAGAGCTTAAAAGAGAAAAAGGAAAAAAGAAGTGGAAAGATTTCGCTTCCTTTTTCTCCGGTTGTTTTTCTCGGCTACTCCTTTTACGCTCTCCTTCTATTCTCCATCGGTCTCCGGTGGAAAAAGTTTGTATTCCATTAGCGTGTCGGAATAGGAAACCTCTCTAGCGAACGACTGTAAACTCTTGGATATTCCGGTGGAGCGGCAAAACGTCCGGAAACGGCTTCAATTTGAACGGTTTGAAAAGTATTAATTACGACACTGGACCCCGCCACTGAAACAATACATCGTCGTACGCTCGTCCGGGTGTATGGGTGCATTTCGAGGAGAACGAGCTTTTGTTGCCACGATCCGCAACGCGCTCCGCACCGTTATAAGTTCCATTCGACGGGACAATCCATTTTCCACGACGTTAAGTGTATTGCGACGGGCGGGAATTATATCGAAGGAACGCCTAAGCGTGTTTAATTGTTGCGTCTCTCCGCCCTTTGTCTCGTACTTCAACCGGTCTGCTGTCTCTCTGTTCAACGCTATTACTCACTCCATCGCCCCCTCTGTTGTTGCAGGTCTAACGTGCTACACTTGCGTCAACGTCAGCGATAACCAGGTATCGACGAGTCCATTAAACGTCCTCCTAAGAGTCCGTAATGCCTGTATCGTACCGAGTCCAGTGCACAATTTCGTTTAGCCCCGAGGAGATCGTTCCGCCATCGATCTTTTATTTATTTTCAAACTTCCCTTCCTCCGTTCTTAGCCCGCCTCCCTAATCTACCTATCTCACTTCTTCTGTCCGTACACCCACGACTCGTCTTCCCTTCTTCGCTCTCCATTCGCCATCTACCGCTCTTTGAATCGCCGACGTCGCGAAGGAATTACCAATATCGGGCCCGGTCGTCGATTTCTTCCAGCAACGAGAAAAAGAAGACACGAAACACCGAAGAAGATGGCTACGAGATCGTTCAACACCGCGGATCAAGTCCGAGCAATTCTAAATAGAAGTTCCTTCCACGGAAGTCTCTATTGAAAACCGTTGATTCCGGTCGGATCGATGGCCACCGCGAGTTCCGGCTCCGAGAATTTATTCCTTCGACCGTGAACTCCGTCGTCTTATTTCTCCCCTTGTCCTTTTTCCCTTCTCTATTTCTTTTCTTTCATCCCGAATTCCATAGTAGTCGGATCTTTCTATAACGGCGACGCAGTCGTTGCGGCCACTCGATCAGAAAGCAACGAATTCTCCAGTTACGTTCCACCCGTACGATTTTCCGAACTCTAACTCGCTCTACTGATCCCCTCGATTTCGAACGGTACAGAACCAACAAACTCCATACTTTTTTACCCCCCCCCCCCCCAT